CAACTGCTCTATATCCATCTAACAAGAAACCTGCCACGAGTCAGTCCCAACCTGTAACAGAGCCCCAGCACCAGCACCTGATGAAGCCCCACACTTCTGCTTCTGTCAAGGGACAAAGCCTGCCCAAAACTGCTGCTCAGACATGTGAGAATCATAGTATCAGAGAATGGTTTGGGTTTGGATTGGAAGTGACCTTCAGAGCCCTGAAGTTCCAGAGAGTGACCTTGTTCAAATCCCTTACCATGGGCAGGGACATCATTCACTAGAGCAGGTCGCTCAAAGCCCCATCCAACCTAGCCTTAAACCTTTCCAGTGATGGGGCATCTACAACTTCTCTGGGCAACCTGTGCTAGTGTCTTACCACACTCTTCATAAAAAATTTCTTCCTTACATATTATCTAAATCTGTCTTCTTTCAATTCAAAACTGTACAGTCACCACAGGCTCTTAAAAGGTCTTTCTGTCTTACTCGCAAATCCTCCTTATTGAAAGGCTGCAATAAGGTCTCCCCAGAACTTTCTCTTTTCCAGACTGAACAAGCCCAGCTCTATCAGACTGTCCCCATAGCAGAGGTGCTGCAGCCCTCTGAGCACCTTTGTGGGCTCCTCTGGACTTGCTCCAACAGATCTGTGTCTTTCTCGTTCTGGAGGCCCCAGAGCCTGATGCAGCACACCATGGGGGGTCTCAAGAGCATAGTAGAGGGGGAGCATCACCTCCCTTGACTTGCTGGCTGCACTTCTTTTGACGCAACCCAGGATATGACTGACTTTCTAGGCTCTAAGTACACATTGCCAGCTCAATTTTTCATCCTCCGCTATCCCCAAGTCTTTCTCTGCAAGGCTGCTCTCAATCCATTCATCCCCTGTATTGATATTGGAGATTGTCCCAAGACAAGTGGAGGACTTTGCGCTTGGCATTGCTGAACTTCATATGCCCAGCCCCCCCTCACCAGATGATTCTCTTTTAGTGCTGGAGGGACAAAACAAGCACAGATCCATGCTACAGGATGGGGTTACCTGAAAGCTCTGGACTGCCCCTGACACGCTGCAGTGGTCTCAGTGAGCAGAAAAGAAACAAGAAAGCACAAATGAACTCTTCACAATTTCCCACCTCTTTGGCATACTTAAAGGGGGAGACCAGACTGTGGTAATAACCAGGGTAATGATGGCTTTGGATTTGACAAAACTCTCCTCAGTTGACCTGAGCTGAATTCATTGACAGCTTTTGTTGCTTGTCTCCGTTAGAAAGTGTTAAATAGTGAAAACAATAACCTTCTGGGGAATACATCTTGCCTACATCCAGCACTGTGCCTAGGGCTGTCCTCACAGCAGAACTGCTATGTGGAAGGGCCAGTTGCCAGTCAGATCTGGACACCTCCAACAGCTGCAGCAAGTATCCCATTCCCCAGCTAGCTCAGTCAATGGAACGTGAGACTCATAATGTCGGGGTTGTGTGTTCAAGCTACACTTGGAGCACAGAAGAGGACTGTTATGGTTTAACTCCACCTGGCAACTAAGGAACCCGGAACTTGCCACTCCTCCCCACGGGAATGGGAGGGGGAGAATGGGAACAGTAAAAGTGAGAAAACTTGTGGGTTGAGATAAAAACAGTTTAATAATTGAAATGAAATAATAATGCCAAATCATAATGAAAATAACAAAAAGAGAGAAATAAAATACCAGAAACACAATGGTGTCAATGCAAATGAAAACAAATGCTCAACACCAAATTACTGATGCCTGGCCATTCTCCAAGCAGCAGCCAACCTTCCTCCTAGTTTTATTGCTGAACATGCTATCATGTGGTATGGAATATCCCTTTGGTCAGTTGGGGGTCAGTGGAACCAGTTGTGTTTCCTCCTAATTCCTTGTGCACCCCCAGTCTCCTCGGTGATGGGGTGATGTGAGAAGCAGAAAAGGCCTTGTCTCTGTGTAAGCAATAACTGAAACATCCCTGTATGATCAACAGTGTTTTCAGCACAAATCCAGAACATAGCACCCTATGAGCTATTTTGAGGAAAATTAACTCTATCCTAGAGAAAAATAGAACAGTCACAAAGCAGCCTTGGACTAGAAGTCAGGAGTAGTGCACAGACCTGTGTTTGTAGGAAAAAAATCAGTGTCCACCTGCTCTAGCCATCCTGCTTGGTACACAGGACCTAAAATGTATGACACAGAGGGATGATGTTCAGTGCTTGTGCCTACCTTATCTCCAGTTGCCCTAGGACAGCTGTGTTGGGCACACCCTTGAGGCTGGAAACCAATGCATTTCCATACCCATTATGATCCAAGAATGAGTCTGGATTTGCACAAGAGAATAAAGATGATCCATTCCTGCTCGCTTCTTGTCAGGGAAGCCTCTGGATTTGCTACGGTGTGAAAGCAAATGTCAGTTCTTCAATATCCATAATAAACGTGTCTAGTATAGAGTTAATTGGTCCTGCCTGCAACCAAGCTAATTTTGAGAAAACCACAATAATACTGCAAGCCCTGACAGGAGGAAGTTGACACAGTACTACAGATAAAGAAATATGGTCTTGTCATTGCAATTGGCGAGTCCTAGGCTTTGTGTTAGCTCTGCAGACCTCAGGACTTGTCTTGCTCTGCTTGAAGAATGACTTGGAATTATTACCGGGCTTATTTTTGTAATAGGCTTTGTTTTGGGCAATGCAGTGATGCTTATAAGAATGTGAATATGTTTCTGTAACAAGGACATAATAATAATTAGTTATTATTCTGTGTAGACTGAATTCTCTATCTCCCAGAAATAAAAATGAAATGGAGTGTATTTGGTTTATGTGACAAGGTTTTAGTGACACAAGGACTGCAGAGTGGCCTTTGTGAAAACAGACCAGAGGCTCTCCCCATCTCAGACAGAGACAGTTTCAACTGACTCCAAAACAGACACATCACTGCCCAAAACTGAGCCCATCGCTGACGCTGGTTGCACCTCTGTCAATGATATATTTAAGAAAGGTTAAAAACACTGCACAGCAGCTGTGTGAGAGAGGGTCGAGAAATGTATGAGAGAAATAGCCCTTTGGACACCAAGGTTGGTGAAAAAGAAGGAAGAGGAGGTGCTGCAGGGATCAAAGAGCAGAGATTCCCCTGCAGCCCATGGAGAGGACCACGGTTTAGCGTCCCCCCCCAGTGCAGCCCATGGAGGTCCATGGTGAAGCAGATGGACCATGCCCGCAGTGCAGGCCATGAAACCACCATTGTTCAATTGATGTTCACTAAAGAAATGCAGCCTTGTGAACAAGGTTGTGGAGAAACACTAAAAGACAAAGCTCAGCAAGAAGTGTCTGTGTTGGCAATCGTTCAGCAGAAACAAGCTGTCTGCAACCCTAGAAGCAGGAGCCCTCAGGGAGCTTGGCGTGCTGCCCTGAGAGAGGCTGAAAAGGAGCAGTGCAGGGGGCGTTGTGGGTGTGCTCTGTTTCAAACGATGCAGCTGACAGGAGCTGAGCCACAGGAATGGCCCAAACAGTGACCAAAAGCTGAACTGTGTTTCATTAACTTGAAAATACATTTTTTTTTCACTTCAAAAAGTACATATACACTTTGAAAATACATATTACTTCTCATGCCCTGCATATGCTAATGAAGTAAAACCTTTCTGTATGAGTACCACTTCATGTTTTTTAACTACCAGATGAAGTGGTAACCAGAAGGGACCCTTTGCTGAGGCTTGCTAGAAAATACTAACCTTCAGGTGCAGAGATCTCTTTTGTACCTGAATATAGATATGGGAGAGTGAAGCTACATTCCATATAGATGTTTTCTACTAATTTAGTTCTTTGGAAGATGGTCATAAAAATTCCAATGGTTCATGATTGACACAAACGGATATTCCTCTGGTATTTTTCCCTACCATATAGGATGGTTCCATATGCAAGGGAAGATAGACGTGTGTTTGAGCTCTCTTGAGAGAGAGAAAGAGGTAACTATGGGTAGTGATTTATTTCACAGTGATATTATTTCTTTTAAGTAGAAAGTAAACAAATAATTTAAATATTTACTTTCTCTGAAAGGTGACTTCTGATTTCTAGCCAGCTCTATCTTATGTTGCAATACAATGAGAATTGAACAGTCATCTGGTAGGACAATGCTTACATGGTAACTCAGACACTTGATGCTGAAGTTTCAAGTTGGTATTTCCTGAAATGTGCATTTTTTTAAAACCAGAATTTCAAACTACTGCAAGGGCTGTAAAGTTGAACTCAAACCTTACCTTCATGTTATGTCAGATGGTTGTTGTTACAGGTTTGCCTATCACAAAGAAATAGCTCCCATCCTGTTACAAACACTCGCGTGAACATGCACACAAACACACGGAAAGAGAATCTGTTTGGTTTTTTGTTTGGTTGGTTTTTGTCAAAGACCATTTCAAGCACAATATTTCAATTGCCCATTAATGTTTAATGGTTTTAATCTTAATTTCAGTGATTCCACTGAAAGAGAAGTGATTAAAAGCAAAAATGGAAAAAAAATAATTAAAAAGACAAGGATTCACGGAGAAATAAATCTTTCAGTTGACTCTTGTTTGATCTAATTTGACTGTGGATGTTTGCAATAAGAATGCCGCCACCTGAACTGCCTCTGTTCTGAGGCACACGAATAAGGTACTGCCAGAGTTTGAGTTTTATGTCCTATTTTAGATATCCAATGCACTTAGATACACTTTAGATTGTCCAATTCAATTGGATTGATTATCCCTTTAAAATGCTTTTATCTTTTGAATGGCTATAAGAGGGCTCTAAATTACAGCTCAAATGGATTGTAAATGCCTAAATACGGTTAAATGAATCCACACCTTCATCTGATCTAGATTCTCTTAGGTTTTTTTGTATCTCTTGCTTTCATCCATGACACTGATCATCTAGAAACACAAAAAACTCTTGAAAGCAAGCCCTGATGTCCTCTGATGTCCCTTTTTTTACATTCTAAGCACCTGTCTGTACCAAATTGATCACTGTGGTGATTCTCAACCTTAGTAAAGGTGCTAAAAAAAACCTTTCCTTTTTAATTGTTTTTTCAGAGACCCTTTTACCTCCTTGTTTCGAAGGGTGTAGATGAAAGGGTTTAGCATGGGAATAACGATAGTATAGAAGATCGAGATGGTGTTACTTTTGTCGGGTGAAGATGTGGCCCCAGGCTGAGCATACATGAAGAAAACTGTCCCGGAGAACAAGCAGATGGTCATCATGTGAGAAGAGCAGGTGGAGAAGGCCTTGTGCCTGCTTTCAGCTGAAGGCATTTGGACAATTGTGATGATTATGTAAGCATAGGAGATAAAAACCACCAAGGCAGTGCCCACAATAATGGATCCACACACAGCCAGCATTACTAGTTCATTGACGAGTGTGTCTGAACAGGAAGCATGCATCACTGCAGCAACATCACAGAAGAAGTGGTTTATTTCTTTGGGCCCACAAAAGGACAAACTGAATGTAAAGCCTGTCTGGATGGTGCAATTGATGCAGCCTGACAGATAAGAGGCCATCACCATGAAAACACAGAGTCTTTTATTCATAATCACTTGGTACAGCAGTGGATTGCAGATGGCAGTGAAGCGATCATAAGCCATCACAGCAAGAAAGAAGGCTTCTGTTGTACCAAAGAGAGAGAAGAAGAACATTTGTGAAGCACAGCCATTGTAGGAAGTGTTTCTTCTGTCCAGTGAGAATATCAGTGTTGCTCTGGGAGTGATGACAGAGGAATAGCAGATGTCCAAAGTTGACAAGTTCTCTAGGAAAAAGTACATTGGAGTGTGCAGTTTGGAGTTCATTCTAATGATGAGTATCATGCAGACATTTCCTACAACAGTGACAGCATACATTATTGAAAAGAGAACAGAGAGGAAGAGTTGTGATCCTGGATGAGATTTGAACCCAACCAAAATGAACTCAGTTATCTTGGTGTCGTTTTCCATTTTTTTTTTCAGATGGTGTTCTGAAAGGAAATTAGGATGCAGTGGATTTCAAGTAGTCTGCCTGGAGAAGCAATTAGAAGAATAAGACAAACAGCGAGATATATCAAAGATAAGAAATATAAAAAATAGACAGATGGAAATGATTAGAAAATTGATTAATCTATCATATCTGTATATTTTCGTAAACTATTTGTAAATTAATTTTTAAAAATTTGTAAACTAATTACCCTGTGATATTATCTTCAGTATAATGAAACACTCTGCATGCAGCTTATCTAAAACTATTTTAATTTAATCAACTAGAAACAGACATTTCATTCTACAGTTAAAGAGCTATTTCAGGTTTAACTGGGTAGGAAAAAGTCTTATCCTAAGATTGCAACTAGCCCACAAAAGACTATTCTCCCCTAAACAAACAAACAAAAAAGAATATGCTCCTTCAGATGATGCAAAACAATTAAAAATATATATAAGCCAAGAAATGCATTTAAAGAATGTGGATTTTTTTTTTTAAAAAAGCCTATTATTAAAAAAGGTAACACTTCTTTATATGAGAAACCGAGTTTTTTTTTAATAGTACTTGAAACAAACCCCTCAAATGTTGAGATTTCTGAAATAAATTTTCTCTATTCAAATGTTAATTCACACACTAATTGACAGAATGTTTCAAGTAATTCCTTTTCAGTTCTATTTAGCAGTTTTATTTTCGTAAGCTGGGTGTCATCTGAACTAGGCTTGAATACTTTCAGTGGGTTGATGCCTACATTAGAACTCATAGGTTAGATTATCTTTAAATTCAGAAATAAGCACTCTCACTTTAGAATATTTACATAGAAGGTATGAGTAATGTTTTAAGATTTTCTGGTTTTCTCCACTGACCTAAAGGGAAGTCCAGCTCAGGCATAGCTAAATATTCTGTAAGTATAAGGATGTACATAGATGTATAAAGCTGAGTGATAGGTATCCCTGTCCAGTTACTGGTATTTTGTTTGGTTTGCTGTTATTTCCATTAGATAATTTTTCATAACCCACATGTATCTAAACTTTTTAAAACACTGAATTGATTTTTAACACAACACTTCAGCCATTTCTTTATTGTCCTTGAAATGTACCCTTGTCTCTGGGTGCCCTTGGAAGCTCTATTTACTTCTTTGTTCTTATTTACCCGTGCCTTAGAAAAGGGAAATAAATGTGGAGAAGGAACTTCTCTTTGTGTAAACTTGCTCTTCAAATATTTTGGCTAGTTTCTCTTGGGATTTTTGTGTACAGAGAACTCAAGTTTAGACAGTAAAGGTCAATCATCTAGTCAAAGCTTATTCAAGCCTGTTGTCTATAGCTTCCACTAATGCTAAAGCTTCCCCTATTGTCAAAAGAGAGAAACAGATGCATCCACAGTTTGATTCTTCTACCCCCACCATATTTGTTCAAAAAAGGAGAAAAACAGTCCCTTAGAGGTGTCTGTCTTTGTTAAAGGAATCAAGCTAGCAAGAAAATAATAAGAAAAAAAGAGATACTTTTGTCCACAATAATGGAAAGGAAAATTTCAAAATTACATGTCACTGTGGTCAGCCATGTAATGGATGTGTGATCTTGTCTGACCTGACTGACCTTATATTTAAATTATTATTTTTATTCTGGTTTTATGTGTATCCATCAATGATTTAAATGTAACAGATGTAAACTTCATAATAATCAAACATATTGTCAACTGAAAGGTATGCTACATGCTATCAAAAATTGTTTAGTTGAAATAACAATTACTACTGCTCTAAGTAAATGTCTTTTTAAAAGAGACTAACAAAAGCCTAAGCTAAGAGTGAAGATGCTGGAGCTACTTTTATAGCCAGTGAGAGGGGAAGATTTTTGATTCCTCTGAGATCTGAAGAATCTCTGGAACTGTCTCGTGGTTGATGAAAAGCAGAAAGTCTAGAATGTAGACACATTAAATACGGGCTTCCTGTTAGCAGACTTACTTTCTAGAAGAGCTAACTGCATTCATAAGCCCTTATTACTATATGCTATGTAGTCAAAAAAAGAGGAAACAACTATTTTTAGTCCAATTCTATCACTACATTTAGCAAAGCAAAGCTCAGACTTCACAAACCACAATACACATACCTTGTAATACTGTGATTAAAGCCAGGTTTGTTTTTTGGAATTCAGATTTCTTGAACACATTGTCAAAATAATTGAACATATTTTCTACTCCACTAATTTTTCAGTAGTCTCTTGGTAATCAATACATCACTGGCCTTTCATCTCACTGATTCTCAGGGTATTCTCCTTAGCATGTTGCTTTATATATACTTTAATAGGTATGCATAAAACCACTAGGGATTTAATTTCTAGAGTCTTGGATCTTCACAGCAGACATCTGAACCTCAAATGAGATATTTTTCCCTTGTGCCATTTGTCTTTGCCTGCAGAAGAAGAAAAACCAAGAGTAAAACTCAAACAATAAAGTCTAATGCTGCTTCTGTGGCTTTTTTACCCCTGCTTTTTCAATGTTTCTTATATAGAACTCTTCCTGCTCCTTGTAGGTCTCTTTTTGCTAAGCAAAACATCGTGGACATAATCAAAACCCTGTTAGCCATTACAATCTGTTTCCTTCCAGATTATGGAAATAGAACCGACACCCTTGCCTTCTCCCCAACCAATATGTTTCTCTTCGCTAACCAAAACCAACTTTCTTCTAAATGTACTCTCTTCTCTGACTGGGAGAGAAAGTGTACTCACCACCTAAAGCTTAGAAACGTGATTCACATTAGTGTCCAACCTCTAATGGAAAATTGATCTGGAATCCAGAAACCACTCCAGGAAGAAAAGAAGCATCTCACAACTCCTGTGTGGGTATCTCAGACACCCTAGGAAAACTGCTGTTTTTCAACAAGCAAACTTACATTCTTCTCAACACAGGAGAATCACATTTATTTAAAGCAGACTATATTAAATTTTTGTTGTTTTGGTCTGTAGTTTTAAATAAATCTACATGAAATAGATGTTTCTCTTCTTGATATAAAAGCTTCTCAAATTTTGTGACTCATGATAGATCAATTTCTTCTAAAACCAGACTATTTTACATTTGCATACATTCCCATCAGCTCCCAGAGACAGAAAGCAAGATTAAGAGAGATAGTAAGGGTCTCAAAATCTAAAATTGAACTTCCAGTCTTACCTACATTACTTGTGGGAGCTGACTTATTTACACCTAACATTGAATTTACAAAAGTGTTTATTAGGAAAGCTGTCAGACATAAACTTTTAGATGCAAGAGATAACTTCTATTCTCAAAAAGATCGTATTTTTATAAGACTTTTCTGTGTTTTCTCTTTTCCTAAGAACATTTAGAAACCTCTGTTATCTAATAACACCATTATTAGTGTACCTAAACCCCATAATAATTGGATGATAATCCTCTTCACAGTGTGTTTGAAAGTTTTTCTTGACATTAATTTCAAAACAATCACCTTCAGATCAGTGCCTTAAACCCAGTGTCAATGTGTGTAGCCAAATCACTGTATTAAAGGAACTTAACACCTTGCAAAATTTAATACTTCAATGGAAAACTCACTATGGAGTACTGAAATGCTATCATTTGCACTTTATAAACGAAAAACTGAAATAAGAGAAGAAATAGATTAGGTGATTATTGGTGTATAAATAATTTAATATACTGTAATAAGAACAAAGTGACCTGACACTGTACTGATTTTGGCTTGGATAGAGTTAAATTACTTCATAGTAGCTTGTATGGGGCTAAATTCTGGATTTGTGATGAAAAGAGTGTTGAGGACACAGGAATGTTTTAGTTATTGCTGAACAACACTGGCACAGTGTCAAGACCTTTTCTGCTTCTTGTACAACTCTGCCAGCGAGGACGCTGGAGGTGGGCAAGAAGTTGTGAGGGAACACAACTGGGACAGCTGACTCCAACTGACCAAAGGGATATTCTCAACCATATAGCATCATGCTCAGCAATAAAAACTGGGGGAAAGAAAGAGAATGAAGGGATGTTTGGAGTGATTGCATTTGTCTTTCTAAGTAACTGTTATTCATGATTCCTGTTTTCCTAGAGATGGATGAACATAAAGGCATATGTTATAGATAAATAGAATAAATATCCTTTAGGGTGATAATCCATATGCATGAATGGTAAAGGAGCCTAGGGTAGTTTGCCTAGATGTCTAAATAGACATTAGACTTCAATGTCTAATTTTTAGGTATTTTTAGAGGAATCTATATCAACCTGTATCTGTAGCTATTGATCTTTAATGCAGATCTAAAGAATTACGGGATTTTTTGGCTCCTTTCCAATGGTTCATATTGTAATGTATATTCATATTGTGTCAGTTACCTATTTTCTCATCATAGATTTTCTGCTAATACCTGTTATACAGCCAGCATCCTACATTTCTGGTGATAGCTCCCCATTATGGTTAACTTCAGGCTGTTCTTGACACCTCTCCTTAACCTTGTGCTCAAGTCTTCACAAAGGTCTGATTTGAAACAATTTTATCTCTGGCGATACATGGCAACAATATGCATAGACAAGTTCTTCCAGCAAGTATCTTGCAGTTTCTTCCCTGGAAAGCTGGATGTTTCATGAACTGCAAAATCTGAAAGGGCCATATGCTAATAAAGAGCATAGAATATCAGAAACTACAGTCTCAGTCATAAACTGAAACCCATATTTAATATGGCCATATAGGGATGCACTTGGCTGACAGATTTATTTGTTTGTTTGTTAGAGAATATTAAATGTTTTGAAACACTGTGATATTCTGAACATGGAGTAGTTTTCTTAGAGACACCGTTTCACCAGATGATCAGTGTTTAACTCAGTCTTTCCAGACTTGTGCATAAGATCATGACTCCTGCTGGAATACTGCTGGATCCAAGGCTCATGCAGTCTGAAGAAAACATTGAAGTGATCTGTCCTTTCAGTTGTATCTGAATTTCTTCGTGGAGCAAATTATTTGGTGTGCAAAAAGGATATTCAGGGGACCAGGGTTCTGTTGACAGAGGCCAAGTGACAGTTGCAGCTGTACCATGCGAGCAGCTTGGACTACTCACATTATACTTTCTCTA